CTTATAGATCCACCCACGACTTTAGCTAAGACATCTCCATATCTGTAGCTCATGAGGTCTTTACCTTGCATCCGAATACAAGTAGATAAGTCGTGCTAGTCTTACCCGAGATCACTGATCCCCATTCTCAGTGTCTCTAGACTAGAAACATAAAATTAGGAATAAATATCCAGTATCCTTGAATCCTCATGATCGTGATCTCATCACAGATACTCAAGAGATACCTATTTTGTTCCAAGGGGTTTATCCAGTTACTCATATAAAATATTAACAGTAATATTGAGACAAAATATGAAACATGATAAATAGTGCTTTTATTTATTTGTGACAATACAAAGGTCCACATATGTCCTAATCTAATTAAAAGATTGTCTCTAGGACATCCATATACTAACAATCTCTCCCTTGTCCCTACACACCCCACTCGTTTTTGATGGAACCATTTCTCTGTTGCATGTAGCAAAAATCCGAAATTTTGGAGCATAGGAAGTTTGGTTGTGTGCCCCTCACTTGGTGACCATCTTCCATTGGTGGATTTGGGAGCTGTAGGTGCGTGTTAGAGGTAAGAGCCAAACATTTAACCCCTCCTTTGTCATCCCTGTTTTGATCTCCATGCGTGAACTAGGAAGACTACTTTTGCTGTTTCACTTTTCCTTAATTCTGCCCATTCAAACAGCTCTAGGATATGAGGAATGTAAGCTAAAATTGTCCTAGTGTGAGCTTGGAATATAGTTTTTTTACTGATCTTTGAAGTAATTAAATTGATTGGGTCTTGTATGTATTAAACGTAGTTGGACAGCATGTTTAGGTCCCTCATTAGCATACCTTAGGCCTTGTATAGTCGAATATATGAATAAAATATAATGAGTTCTTTTTATGTTGAAAACCGAATTAGTATGTATGGAGAACCTTGGAACTGTTCACTGTTACACGTTGATAAATTAATGAGTATAGATTGTTTTATCATTCCTTTGTCTTGTCCTCATAGTTCGGCCATCACATGTAGAATTAGAGAAGGTTTTCCTTTGGCTTTTTCCATTCATCAATTCTGCCCATGTTGACCGATTTGGACTTACCACTTAATCACTCAAAGAATTGTTTTTGAAACTTGGATTCCTCGCTGTTGACAAATTGGTGAAGTAACCTAAGTCAGAATAGTAATGTGGTTTAGGGACTATGAAAACTGAATCTACATGTAGGGAAAGCCTTGGGTATTGTTGCTGTAAAAAGTTAATAAATTGAGACGAAGTCAGAAAAATATTCGCTTAGGAGAAGTCTTAAAACCGAACCTATGCATGTTGTGAGCCTTGGAAAAATGGTAATTCTAGCAAGGAATGAAGTACTCTTAAGGGCAGAATATAATTAGCAATAGGAGCCGTATAATTTGATGAAAGTGCATGATTTAGGAGCGTAGAAATTATTGGTGATTTATAGGGATAATTGTATAAAAATTATGATTTGATACGTTGACCTATTAGGTGCGCAAAACTCTTAAGACTTTGAACTAATTCGCTGCTGCCTGGTAATTTATTTGTGACGCGCGAGGTAAGTGTTCGGTGGTATTACCTAATGTGACTATTAGCTAGCGTATAAGAATTGTGAATTGTTGCTCACATGTGCCTTGGATTAATGTGTTGTCATTTGCTATATGTATGCTGCCTATGAATGTGACAAGATGGAAAATCATGAATGAGAAGTAATTGTTATGTGGCAGCTTGGTACGGAAAGTACATGAAAGATATGCTATTATGATGATGATCTAGTTATGCATATACACCTCATAATTCATTTGTTTCTTGTTGTGTGTGAAGCATATCATGGCATACATGCACGAATTTCATGTTGTTCATGGATTAGGATATTTATATAAATATGCATACGATTGAGCACGCATCATATAGGAATCCCTTCGGTACCAGGGTATGGGACACTTGGCTTCAGTCCGCATAGGCCACAATTGGAATTCACCTTTGATGGGAGCCATTATGGAATATCCACTGTGTATGTTAGTACGCGCACGACGATGCTATGAGCGTAATGATGGCGTTATATACGCACTATGATATGTTAGTACGCGCACAACGGTCCTATGAGCGTAATGAAGGCGTTATATACGCACTATGATATGTTAATATTCCTACGGAAAATGAAATGTTGATGTGACTGTTTTATAATTTTGTACCTAGTCTAATATTGTTGCATTATTGGTTTTACTATCACACTACTGGGATCTTTCTCACCCCTTTGGGGCTGCAATTTTTATAAAATTGCAGGAGGACGAAAGAGCATATGAGGACATGGTTATTTTGGATATTGGCTGTTAATCGTTGCTGCTTGGATTTTTACTGTTGCTGTTTTATTTGATGGATGACTGTATTATTTTGGGAAGTTTGGGTTACTGTTGAAACTATGATTTAGCTACTATTTTAAGACTTTTATGATCAGTTATTACTTTGGAAAAATTCTGAAAACATTTTACGAAAATAATTTTCTGAACGTTTTATTAAGTGCTGATTTATAAACCGTTTTGCGAGCACATTGCGAGTTATGTTACGAGAGGCAAATGACCTCCGAATTGCTATTTTTTTATATGCACGCGAAGCCCTAGACGTGCTCTTTCTCTATAACAAAGAATATTTTTTTGAATTGTTGAACCCGATTTTATACGAATTTTATAAAATAGAAAGGTCTGCCAGGAAATTAAACATTTTCAGCAAGCTATGTAACTTTTAAAGTCTACTCTGATTTTTGTATGTAAACAGATTTCATCCTAAGTTTTAATTAGCAACAAAAAGATACGTTTTCAATATCAAAGTAATGACGTCAAAACTCTAATCCGCTTAGCAAACAACTCTCTTGGATGCATACAAGGGAGGGTGTTACAGAAAATGTATCAACCCCTGCGGTCTAGGGTTAGCTTTTGCCGAAACAGGGAATCTTCATTTACGGACTCTAAAGAGCGGGCTATCTCATGACTCCTTTACTATGCATAGATTCCTGAGTCCCGTAAATGTCATCCCGATTTCACCGGTCTACGGATAACCTAATCTCTCACAGAGATTGACGAATTCATTTAGCTTGTCGGACTAGCCCTGAGTCCTTAGGGCATGCCCAAGAGTATACCTACGCAATGTTATTAAAATCGAGATCTTAAGTAAAATCGAAAGGGGTTTAAAAAATCGTAAAATGTAAAATCGTAATGTAAGAAAATCGTAAAAAATCATAAAAACGTAAATGCGTTTGGAATATTAGTAAAATCGTTTTGATGAAAATAAATCATAAAAACGTAAAATCGTAGTGATAAATTGAGATTCTAACAACAATGTACCTACGAGTCTCCATTTTTCAGGCAGACATGATATACAATCAAAGCAAGCCTTCCAGAGCACAGGTCTATACGACAACGTTAGGTCTAAGAAAAGGCACACCCAAATAATAAGAGACATTACCTATTGATACTATCTGTGAGATTTCCTTGTAGTGTCTCTTTGTGGGTCTGTTCAGTGCGAGCTATTCTCCAATAGGTCCACCCACGAGTCAGCTAAGACATCTCCATGTCTGTAGCTCACGAGGACTCTACCTTGCATCTCCGTGCAAGTAGCTGAGTCGTGCTAGTCTTACCTGAGATCACCAATGCCCATTATCGGTATCTCTAGACTAGGAACAAATTTCTGGCAATCGACGTGTGGTGTCATTGAGCCCTCATGATCGTGATCCTTATTACAAATCCTCAATGTGACACCTGTTCCATTCCAAGGGCTTTATCCAGTTACTCATATTCAATATTTGAGACATGCAATATGAAACAAGATAAATAATGCTTTTATTGATAAAATATATTCATAACAAATAAAGAAGTACATGGGTCCATCTGACTCTCAGATTGTCTCAAAGACACCTATGTACTAACAATGACTCCGTTACTCAAACCGAAAATGTTGAGGAGATCACGGTTAAAGCGGGTGAGGAGGCCACTAATCAGCCCATGGATCCCGCTGCACAAATAGAGACTCCAGCCAACTCTGCTGCTTGAAGGACCGTGATGCAAGTTTTATATGGTAACTTTTTGTTTGGGGCTCTTTGAGCCCCTTTTTAATTTGCTCTGAATTTTTTGACTTTTTTGAAGTATCTTACTTTCCTTTATAATCTGTCTTCACATTTTTATGCTTTACATTGCATATTCTGTTAATAACTTAGGCACATCTGCCTAAGTATCGAAAGTTTATCTTTTTTCTGGGTTGCTTGAGGTATTTTTGCATTTGCAACTTGTGCATTTTACAAGCGCTGCTATATTGACCTAGCCGAGGTCAGAAAGCATTATACGGATTCTGTTTTCTGTCATTTTCTATGACGCATGTTTATTTTGACTTAACCATTTTGGTAAGCCTGCATTGATGATGGTAATTTTCTTTTCTGACTGAACCCTTTCATCCTATCCTGGGTTTTGTAACCCAACTTTACTCAAGGTAAAGGCAGTATTGTCACTTGTCCCCCTTAGGTCCTTTGACCGAGGAAAAAAGCATTTTGACTTGATCAGAGTCAGTATGACAGACTGCACTTGCACCTCAGAATGTGTATTGATGCATCAAAACTAAATAAGAATAAATCTTAAAAACAAAAATTCGTCATTTATTGATATCAAACTTGTCGATTACATGAATTTTCCAGCATATTCGGCTTTAGTCAAGTCCCTAATAAAGGAAAATAATTCTCCTAGAAAAATTTCAAATGAATTGAAAAACTTCAAATCTTCAAAAGGTGGATCCCAGATTTAGTTGTAATATATTTTCAGCTTATCCGCGTTCCAGCTCCTCTTAATTCCTTTGCCTTCTGTTGTTTCCAGGACATAGGCTCCTCTTCCAAGCTTTTCTTTAACTCGGTAAGGGCCTTCCCAGTTTGCAGCTAGCTTCCCATCTCTGGCATTTTTATTGCCAATATCTGCTCTTCTGAGTACCAAGTCGTTTTTCTCAAATACTCTTGGCCTCACTTTTTTGTTGTATCTAAGCTGCTATAAGTTGTTTTGCCATCATATCCCGGCAGTGAGTTGTTACCCTGGCTTCATCAATGAGGTCTAACTCAGTAGTGAGCAATTTATTATTCTCTTGTTCATTCTGCTTAATAGCATTCACTCTTCTCCAAGAGGGTTCTCCAATCTCTATCAGAACCATGGCTTCACATCCATATGTCAATCTAAAAGGGGTTTCCCCCGTTGCTGTCTGGGTACTCGTTCGGTATGCCCACAAAACAAAATATAATTGATGGACCCAGCTTTCTTTGGCATCCATCATTCGTTTCTTGAGCCTGTCAACAATTACCTTGTTTGCAGCTTCAGCTTGCCCATTTAACTGTGGGTGTTCCACAAATGCGAAGCGATGTTTGACCTTCAAGTCTTTCATCAACTCCTAGAACCATTTATCAGCAAACTGTGTTCCATTATCAGTCACCACCTCGGCCGATATTCCAAACCTAGAAAAGTTGTTTCTTTCAAAGAACCTTTGTACCCTGGCCGAGGTTATTGTGATAACCAGTTCTGCTTCTATCCACTTGGTGAAGTAATCCACGGCCACTATTAGCCACTTCAACTGTCCTTCAGCAGCTTTGAAGGGTCCTAGCAAATCCATTCCCCATTTGAAAAAGGGCCATGGAGCCGAGATATATTTCAACTCTTTTGATGGTGAAAGAATTAGCCTGGCATGTTTCTGACAGCTGTCGCATCTTTTGACATGTTCTTTTGAATCTGCTTCCATAGTCGGCCAATAATAGCCGGCTCGAAGGGCCTTTCTAGCCAAAGCTTTACCCCCCATGTGGTGGCCATTGATTCCTTCATGTATCTCGGCTAGCACATATTCTGCTTCTTCCGAGTTCAAGCATTTCAACATAGGGATGTGTAACCCCTTTCTATATAGTTGATCCTCGAGTATCGCATATTGTGCTACATCTCGAACCAGCTTCCTAGACTCTAATGGGTCCTCAGGAAATGCCCCTTTCTCAAGGTATGCCACTATGGGTTGCCGCCAGTCACTTGCCGAGGTTATTATCATCACGCAACTCGGCTTTGTTCTGCTCTGCTGTACCACGGTTCTGTGGTTTCCTGGATTTTTTGTACTTGGCAATTTGGACAAGATGTCAGCACGACTGTTCTCCCCTCGAGGAATATGGGTGACTTTCACCTCTTCAAACTCGGCCATTATTTCTCGGACCTTGTTCAGGTATTTCATCAGCAGAGGGCCTTTGGCCTGATACTTTCCTTCTATCTGAGAAGTCACTAATTGGGAGTCACTGAAGACTTTAACCTTTTTTTTCCCGTGTTCCTTAGCCTGCATTAACCCGGCTATTAGGGCTTCATATTCTGCTTGATTGTTTGAAGTTGGGAAACTACGATTTAAGGAGTGTTCTATTGCCACTCCTTCTAGACTTTCTAGTATTATCCCAGCTCCACTTCCTTTATCATTGGAGGATCCATCTACATATACCCTCCAAGTATCCTCAACTTCTCCCCTTTCTGGGCTGCCCGGGGTAAGCTCCATTATGAAGTCGGCCAAAGCCTGTGATTTAATGGCCTTCCGACTCTCATATGTTATGTCGTATTTAGAGAGTTCAATTGCCCAGTTAGTCATTCTTCCTGGCAGATCTGGCTTATGCAACACCTGTCGTATGGGTTGATTAGTACGGACTATTATCTGGTGTCCCTGAAAGTATGGTCGCAACCTCCTCGCTGTAATCAGCAAGGCAAAAGCCACTTTTTCCAACTTCTGGCACCTCAACTCAGGACCTTGCAAGGCCCTACTGACAAAGTGAATTGGCTCATGACCTTTGCTGGTTTCCTTGATCAGAACAACACTTATCGCCTCTTCCCCCACAGCCAAGTTCATGATCAGAGTATCTCCTGGTTCTGGCTTAGATAGTACTGGTGGGGTTGCTAAGCATTTTTCAACCTTGTCGAACGCGGATTGACATTCCGGGTTCCAACCCTGCACAGCTTCTTTCTTTAATAGTTTGAAGAATGGGAGGGCATTTTTAGCTGACTTGGGTAAGAACCGGGTTAGTGCAGCCAGCCTACCAGTCAATTGTTGAACCTCTTTCTTGTTTTGAGGAGCTTTCATATCAAGTACTGCTTTGCACTTGTATGTTTTGCTTCAATTCCCCTATGGGTTAGCATGAAACCTAAGAATTTCCCCGCTAGAACTCCAAATGCACATTTTACCGGGTTTAGTCGAATGCGGTATTTCCTGAGCTTTTGGAATGTCTACTCCAGATCTTGGACATGTTTCGTCATGTCAAATGACTTCACGATCATGTCATCAATATACACTTCTACATTCTTGCCCAGTTGATCCTCAAACACTTTGTTCATCATTCTCTGCTACGTAGCCCTAGAGTTTTTGAGCCCAAACAGCATCACATTATAGCAGTAATTGGCCTTTTTAGCAATAAAGGCAATTTTTTCTTGATCTTCAGGATACATCGGGATCTGGTTATAACTTGAATAAGCCGCCTCCATGAAGGATAGCAATTGGAATCTAGCTGAGTTATTCACTAGCTGATCTATGTTGGGCATAGGGTAAGAATCCTTTGGGCACACTTTATTCAGATCCGTGTAATCAGTGCAGACTCTCCATTTCTCGTTGGGTTTTTTCACCATGACAACGTTGGCAAGCCAAGTCGTATATTGTATTTCGCGAATAAACTCAGCATCTAGCAATTCCTTCACATGTTCTTCCAGAACTTGTTTTCTTTCTGGCCCCAAATTCCTTTTCTTCTGCGAAACTGGTACTGATCCGGGGTAAACCGCCAACTTATGGCAGCAAAATGTTGGATCTATGCTGAGAATCTCTGATGACTTCCATGCAAAGACATCTGTGTTACTTTTGAGAAACCCGGCTAACTCTTCCTTGATGTGGGGATCTATGGTCTTACTGATTCGGGTTATTAGAGTAGCTATATTGTATACTGGACAACTGTGTTTATAGTCACAGCTGTACCCAGGGTTATTTGTGTAAATAGCCAACACATTAGTTGGTAAACTGATGGTGACGTGTAAGCTTGTAACAAACTTAGTTGTCCTATAAAGGGACGCATGTGTACTGTTTTCAGAATATACTGAATAATATGAACTATTCATTCTCTCTCATCTTCTCCTTCGTTCTCTCTTTTCTCTCTCTCTTTCTTCGCTCTCTGATTTCTCTGATGGTATCAGAGCTCTCTTTCTGAGGGCCTGATACAGATCCTCTCACTCAATGTCTTCCGCTTCGCAACCACGTTCTCCGTCGGCTTCAGCCACCGGAACAACCGCTGGAAATGGATCAACAGAAAATCAAAATCGATCGTCTTCTTCGTCATTGTTCACTCATCGAATTTCTGTTAAGCTAACAGAAAGTAATTTTCTCCTCTGGAATCAAGTTGTAGAGCCGGTAATCACTTCTCACCAACTTCATCACTTTCTTGTGAACCCTAAAATACCTCTTCAGTATGAATCAGAGCAAGCTCGTGTTGAAGAAGTCATTAATCCTCTGTATACTGAGTGGCTTCGTCAAGATCAGATGCTCCTGTCATGGATCCTTTCTACTATTTCAGAAGAAGTCTTGAATGAGATCCTTGGCGTTAACCATGCATTCGAAGCTTGGGAGCCGATCCACAATTTTTTTCAAGGAATGATGAGATCTAAGACTCATCAGCTCAGATCTGAACTTCGTACCATCAAGAAAGGTGGGAGATCTGTAGCTGAGTACCTTAGACGTGTAAAATCCATCTGTGATGAACTGAAAGCTGTTAAAAGTCCTATTTCTGTAGAAGAACAAACTGAGTTAATATTAGCTGGTCTTCCTCCTGATTTCAATGCATTCGTAACCTCTGTTAGAGCTCGTGAAAATCAATACTCACTAAGTGATTTGAGAGTTGAACTCATTTCCTACGAAATGATGCTTGCAAGGCAGAATAAAACTCTTCTGTCAGAATCAATGTCTGTGAATGTAGTTCAGAAAACTCCTACTGATCAAAAGGAAGTCTCTAGGTCTGAGTTAACACCTACAAGACCTCCATTTGCTACTATGCAAGCTAACCAGAATCAGAACATGTACAGTCTAAGGCCTTATGGTTCAAATAGTGAAAGAGGCAGAGGAAGGTTCTATGCTCGAAGCAATAGAGGAGGAAGAAGTCGTGGACGTAGCAATGTCCAATGTCAACTTTGCTATAAGTTTGGACATGGAGTTCAGACCTGTTGATATAGGTTTGATGAAAACTTTATACCTGAGTTCTCTCCACCTGAAGCTCCTCATTACTTTCCATCAACACAGTCTTCGTTTCAGAGATCGTATCAATACAACAGAACTCCTACATCAAACCAACCTCAAGCTCTGTTGACCACAAATCAACCTCAACAAGCCACTCAACAGCAATGTAATGTTGCACAGGGTCAAGGACTTCTGCCAACCCCTTCGAACATTCAAACTATTGAGTGGTATCCAGACTCGGGTGCTTCTCACCATGTAACTGCTAATCCTCAGAATTTGCTACAAAGCACACAATTGTCAGGTGCAGACCAAGTTTACATAGGGAATGGTCAAGGTTTGAAAGTGAATGCTGCTGGTCACTCTTCTTTTCCCTCTCCTCTCAAACCACACACTCATTTACATCTCAATAACTTACTTCTTGTTCCCTCTATCACTAAAAATCTCATTAGTGTAAGTCAATTTGCTCGAGATAATGGTGTCTATTTTGAATTTCACCCCTCTACCTGCTGTGTAAAATCTCAGGTATCACATGAAGTGTTGCTGAATGGTGCTTTGGGAAGTGATGGCCTATACCGCTTTCAAGGAGTTGATATTTCCTTGAATTCTGATAAGCACTCAAGTCAACAGTGCTTACCTACTCCTGTTTTCAATTCTGTCTCTTGTAGTCTTAAGACTGTGTGTAGTAGCTCAGTTTCTTCTAGTACCTTACCCACTGATGTACTCACACAATGCACAGTCAATGAAGCTAGTAGTTCTGTAAAGTCTGTAGGATCAAACCATATGTACTCACTTTGGCATTGTAGATTGGGACACCCTCACACTGAGGCTCTCAATTCTGTTCTCAAATCTTGTAATATTTCCTTTCCAAATAAAATAGATATTTCTTTTTGCTCAGCTTGTTGTTTGGGAAAAATTCATCGTTTGCATTCTGCCCCATCCACCAAAGTGTATGCAAAACCTTTTGATCTTGTGTTTAGTGACCTATGGGGTCTAGCCCCTGTTAAATCTACAATGGGTTTCACTTACTACATATCCTTTGTGGATGCACACTCTCGATATACTTGGATCTATCCCCTTAAACAGAAGTCTGAAGCCTTAACTGTTTTCAATCAATTTCAAACACTTGTGTCAAATAAATTACTTTCAATCATCCATTAAAGCCCTTCAAACTGACTGGGATGGGGAATTTAGGCCATTTCATCAGAAACTTAAGGATCTTGGTATCATACATAGAATTACTTGTCCTCACACTCACCATCAAAATGGTGTAGTTGAGAGAAAACATCGTCACATAGTTGAGACTGGTCTCACTCTCCTTGCTCATGCATCTTTACCTATAAAATTTTGGGATCATGCCTTCATCTCAGCTGTTTATCTCATCAACTGTTTACCCACTGCTGCACTAAATTTTGAGGTTCCTTTCATCAAATTGCATAACACAGTCCCTGATTATAAGTCCTTCAAAGTCTTTGGGTGTGCTTGCTTCCCTTTCCTACGCCCATACAACAGCCACAAGTTAGAGTTTCGAAGTAGTGAATGTCTTTTTCTTGGCTACTCTCCCACACATAAAGGCTATAAATGTCTCAACTCTTCAGGTAGACTCTTTATCTCTAAAGATGTGCTCTTCAATGAAACAAAGTTTCCCTATCCTATTTGGTTTGACTTACCCTCTTCCACTCCAGTCCATGACTCCTCTCCTTCTTTGTCCAATATCAATCCTTTAATGCCATCACCACCACAATTTACTTCCACTGAACATTCCTTATCACTGCCGTGTGCCACTAGTCCAAGTTCCCAAGCATCCAGCAGCACTTCCTTGACACCTGCCTGCAGCTCAGACCAACCAGCATCCTCCTCTTCGACTACAAGTCCAGTTTCTTCTCCAGACACATCACGTTCCAGCCACAGCCATGCTTTTGAGCCAGTCTCACCTGCTGTCACATCAAATTCAGGTTCTTCTGTTTCTATTTCTTTTAGTCCAACTTCTTCTTCTTCTTCTCCTCCCAGTTCTGGTTCAGAATATATTCCTTCAGGTTCCCTTACCAACTCCCAAACTCATCCCATCCTTACTCGTTCTAAAACAGCCTGCCTGCCTCAAATTTTTTCCACTTCCCTTGAGCCTAGCACAATCAAACAAGCCTTGGCCAATCCTAATTGGCTCTCTGCTATGCAAACTGAAATTGAGGCGCTTCATGTCAACTCAACTTGGTCTTTAGTCTCTCTTCCTCCCAACAGAACTGCCATTGGTTGTAAGTGGGTTTTTCGAGTAAAAGAAAATCCAGATGGTTCCCTAAATAGATATAAGGCTAGGTTGGTGGCAAAAGGTTTTCACCAACAGGCTGGTTTTGACTACACTGAGACATTCTCTCCAGTTGTGAAACCCATCACAATTCGTACTGTTCTTACTATTGCCATTACCTATGGCTAGTCATTAAGACAGCTAGATGTCAACAATGCCTTCCTCAATGGCACTCTTGATGAGGAAGTTTATATGCCACAGCCTCCTGGCTTTGAATCTTCTAATCGGTCTCTTGTTTGCAGATTGCATAAGGCCCTTTATGGCCTCAAGCAGGCACCCTGCGCTTGGTTTGACAAGTTGAAATCCTCTCTACTTCATCCTGACTTTACTGCTAGTAAATGTGATCCCTCACTGTTTATCTACAAGACAACTGCTCACTGTGTGTTTCTCTTGGTCTATGTAGATGATATAATCATCACGGGTAGTGACTCATCTTTCATCCAGTCCCTCATTCAACAACTACATTCTACATTTGCTCTCAAAGATCTTGGAGAGCTTAATTTTTTCCTTGGAATTGAGGTGCAGAAAGCACCTTCTGGAGCTTTAATCCTTTCACAATCAAAGTATATCAAAGAGTTACTTCACAAAGCTCATATGGCAGATGCAAAGGGTAAATTGACCAGGTTCTTCTCCCAACGCAAGGTCCTCTAATTCCCAATCCGGTTCCGGCCTAGGGATCATTTCTTCTCTCATATCCAGTTCAACCACATTGACAGACTTTTCTGAATGATGAGGGATTGCCTTTTTGCCGGCTTTAACCCCCGGACGTATCCTGGGTGGACTTAAGTGTCCACCTTCATTCCCTTTGACTGTCTCAAAGTAGCATTCCCTGGACTCTTTTTGATCGCCAATAATGGTAATGATTTCATTCTTATTGCTTACCATCTTTATCTTTTGATGTTTTGTAAAGACCAGCATGTCCCATTTGTGTATGGTCGGTCTCCCCAGAATTAAATTGTATGCTGACGGGAAGTCAGCTACTATGAATCGCACTTGTTCTGATTTAAACGATTCCTTCGTTCCCAAGGTCAACCTTTGTTGAGATATATAGTCCCGCATTGATTGAATGGACAACTAATATGGCCTTTATAAGGCCTTGGGCACTCCCACCCCTTGAGCTATCTTTTGGGGTGATGTATTCCAAGGTTCTTTACATGGTATCAGAGCCTCACCGTCCCCCGCTTTAAAAAAGTGGAATTAAAATAAAAAAAAGCACAAAAAGGTAAACCAAAAATGGGCCTGTGCAATTTCCACGTTTCTAGCCTAAAGGGCTCTTGCGTGAGGGGGCGTGTTGAGATATATAGTCCCACATTGATTGGATGGGCAACTAATATGGCATTTATAAGGCCTTGGGCACTCCCACCCCTTGAGCTAGCTTTTGGGGTGATGTATCCCAAGGTTCTTTACAACCTTAGATCTATGTAGCCTTTAGGAGGTGTATTTTCTCCATTAAAAGCTATTAAGGTTGTCTTGCATGGTTAGAGGTCCACCTCATCAAGGTTCATCTTTTTGAAGGCACCCCAAAGTATGATGTCGGCACTGCTTCCTGCATCTATCAAGATCTTATTAACTCGGCAATTCACCAAGGTTTCGATGACGACCAAACCATCTACGTGCCCTGGGAAGACACCTTGCATATCTTTCTTTGTGAAATAGAGCAGAGGAGGGTCTGGTTTACTGGGGTCCTCCTTAAATTTAGGACGATCCCGGATCGACAGCACTTCTTTTAGGTACTTTCGCCTAGCACTTACAGTATCTCCTCCTCCTCCCAGAGCTCCACTGATCACGTTACAATCGAATTCGACTTATGGGAATTCATCATTATTGGAATCATCTTTCTGGTTGCTTTAATCTTTTTTTCTTCTTCTCAGGTACCAGATTCTTGCTCCTTTTTCGAACTTTCTTTTGTTATTTTTTGCACCCAGAGTTTTGATCACATACTGACGTAGTTTTCCTTCTCTAACAAATTTCTCCAGAGCATCTCCGAGATCCCAGCATTGATCAGTGTTGTGACCCGGTCCATCGTGGAAGGCACAGTACTTGGACTTATCCAAACCTCCCCTATCAAATATGGGCCGAGGTCTGTCAACTTTTTTCATCTCCGTCATTGCCACTTCCCTCCAAATTTGAGAGCGTGAGGCATTCAACGGTGTATACTCCTCATATCTTCCAACCCGGTCTCTATCATCCAAGATCCTGCTTCTTGAGTCTTTATTTTTATTATCAGGTCGTTCCTTTTCTCTTGGTGTCGGGCTCCTCCTTCTTGGGCTTGCTCTTTTACCTTCCTCTGATAGCGCATTTGCTATCTCCATTTGTTCGAGTTCCAAGTATTTCTTGGAACGAGTTCTGAACTCTTCCAGCGTCCTCACAGGGTCTTTGTAGACCGACTTGGCTAGCCTATATGATCCATCTATGCCAGCCACAATGAGGTGGACGTGGACATTCTCCTGTAAACCCGACACTTGCAAGGCAGCATCCTTGACTCGGTTGAGATACCTCTGGAGGGTTTCTCTGGGTTGTTGTCGTATCTTCCTCAGTGCGAACTCGGATTTTGGATGCTTTTGTTGGTTGCAAAATTCAGAAGGAACTTTTCTCCAAATTCCTCGAAGGATCCAATGGAATTGGCAGGAAGAGTTGAAAACCATGCCTGCGCTGCCCCAGTTAGGATTATGGCAAATATCTGAGATATGAGGAGTTCATCTATTTCTCGGATATACATGTCAGTGTCGAAGGCGTCTATGTGGACCTGTGGGTCCTGATTTCCTTCATATTTCGGCAAGCGTGCCAAATCAAAATCTCTGGGAAAGGAGCATTCAGTATTTCACCAGTGAAGGGCTGTTATTATACTGCCCCCTACTGTATTTCCTCCTATATCTATTGGGTTCAGATCGTCCCCTGGTGGTTTGATTATTTTGGTGAGGATGTGTACCATCCCGGTTTCTCTGGCCATTTGCTCATACTGAAGCATTCTGGGTCAAAGTTTGCACAACAACATTCCCATCACCCATTGCATTGTTCTCAGGGATCAGATTCAACATGGTCCCAAGATTGGGCCTTTCATCATTTCTCGGGTCTGCACCTGATGTGATTCCCGGATTGGGCCTTCCTTGGTTTTCCACCTGGATAACCCGGTTTGCATGATCCGGGTTATGGTTCCCTTCTCGGCCTAGGGCCTCTGTCAACCCAGGCCCTGTCATCCCCATTAAGCGCCGCTCTAGACCATACATCCTCCAAGTATTTTCTTCCTGCATTCTCCGGAAGTCTTGCAGCTGGAGGTTGTTACGATTCTCCATCTCCTCCATTCGCCGTAAGACTACAGTGACCGCGTTTTGAGCAAGTCTAGAGTCAGGATTCGCAGGTTGGGCAACGCGAGCCGCGGCAGCAGTATCCCCAGGATGTTGGGGAGGGTTATTCGGAGGTGGAACTTCAACTCGGTCGCGGGGTGCTGGGGTGGAGGTTGTATCTGATACATCCTCGCTAACGTGAACATGATCATAATCTATTTCATTCTCAGGCTGGTTTTGAGGTTGATTTACCTCTTCCAGAACTGGATCCAGCGGTTGATTTTGAGGGTGTGGCTGTTGGCTATTACTCCTTGTTCGGACTGCCATCTTCAGTCAGAATGGTGGGAATGTCAAATTCAAAAAGAATTCTCACAGACGGCGCCAATGTTCTGTCTTGAAGACAGAGATGTCCGACCCAATAGGCTAGTATATCGATATTGGTTCTAGTGCCCTCTCCAAGGTATCTATGAAGGAGATACCCTTGAGCCAAGCAGATCACTGTGCACAACGAACTAATAACGGCTTTAGCCAATGGGGTGTGTGTGCGCACAGTGACAGCATAACAGTAAGGGAGAGAACGTAACGTATCTTTAAGGTTTACCTTGTATTTATAGAGGTTACCTGTGGATAATGTGATGTGGGCCTTTAGTGCCTCTGATGAGGGTCCTAGCCTGTTTGCTATGCTGTCGTATCAGGATTAGTATCCTTAATGGATACTATCCGTAATTACACTTGATTTGAATCTTGGATTGTCCCTTATTCGACCTGTCATCGTATGGGCTCTTTATACGGGTCCATAACAACTATAGTTAGATTCTAGAAGACCTTTGAAAAGAAGTAGTTTGGCCAAGATAGGCCAAAATTTAATATAACTCATATGATTCCATATATGGGATAGAGAGAGGGCATGGTTCATGTTCCAACATCAAGACTATTTCATGGCTCTTTTCCCAAGCAAAATTAAGCTATTTAGCAATCAGATTCTAGTCTTTACCACTTTAGGAAAGTTAAAATGTCTATCTCTTAGCTTTTCTACAAGATAAGAATCACATCTACGAGACAGAATGATAAACCCTTGGTTCATCAGGTTTTTAAGCATGAATTAATATCAATTTGTGTGATTAAATGGATGGAAAAGAGGTTAATGTTATGGAAATCTCTCAAATACAAGTTCTGAAGCTTATGTTGAAATTTTACATTGTTTTGTAGGAAAATGAAGCTCAATGAAGCAAAAGAGAGAAGGAAGAAAATTCTGAAGAATGGGAAAATTCTAAGAGTTGGGCGCTAAAACGCCCAAAGTCAAGAGTTTTAGCGCCTTGCTGTTCTAAAAGATGCTAGTGTTGAGCGCTAAAACGCCCAAATTGAATGTTTTAGCGCCCAAGATAGTTAAAAGTGGTTGCTCATCCGTCCAAGTTGAGCGCTAAAACGTCCAAGAATGAGCATTTTAGTGCCCATGTAAGTTTCTGGTTGTTATTCAGTTGTATTTTGTAACTCTATATAAGGCAAGGGCCTTCACATTTGGACATATTCTCTCATTCTCTCATATTCTAATCTAAGCCTGGCCCATCACTCTAGGAGAGGGGAGATCAGATCAGATCTATGAAAGATCTGATCTGACTCCTTATTCTCTCTGAATTTCCAAATTCCTTAAGATTAGTTTATGTAATAGTTGGTACTTCTTTATGTAATTGTACTTGAAGATTGAAGACTTAACTATCATGACAATGGAGTTTGATCTTTCTTCTTCCTTTGTTTGTATTTCAATTATGTCTGAGTAGAGTCCTTTGTAGTCTGATTCAATGAAACTCAAGTTTGAATTTATGAATGGTTAATTAGATGTTTTGTTTATCTATTATGTGATTGTATGAAGTTGTCTTGATTAATTCTTCATGTTGATAAATAGTGTAGAACAGACATGTTTACATTATTTCTCTATTTTTGATAATTTCATCATTAGTGTTCTAGTAGTCAAGACATTGATGCTAGGATTCTGATGTGGTCTTAAGACCTTAGTGATTAATGCATGTATTAAGAAAGGGATCACCAAGACATTGGGGTTTCTGATTAATGTATCTATCAGGGTAGTAAGACATTACATCTTGAGATGATAAGAAAAAGGTTGATCAACATCACATAGTAGGTAATTCATTATGAAAATTGGTTCATCCATAAATTCATGCTTGAGGGAAATTGACATCTGACTACTTGTTTACATTATAATTCACATTTTATTTGCTTATTAAGTTTAATACAATTCAACTTAGTTTCTGGTGACAAGAAATTAATGCAATCAATGATCTTTTGGTTGATTCAACTTAAGTATATATGATTAGTCAGTGCTTGAACACAAATCCTCGTGGGAACGATCTTTACTCATCATTTTATTACTTGTTTGACTAGTGCACTTGCTAAATCTTTTTTTTTTGGAGTTACCCAACCCTAATTATTTCTTTGAGACGAGTTGGCTCCCTCCGGTATCCCCACGAGCTTCGACTCTTTGAGCCGGCTATGGGACTAATCCGGAGTGCGGGGGAACAGTGATGGCTAAAGGTTCAGCCCCCTCCCCAAGAATGCATTCAGCGGGAATCGAACACATATCCAACCCCACTAACTCAGCGCCAAGTTACCAACTCATGTTCAGCCCCCTCCCCAGTTTGACTATTGCACTTGCTAAATCTAACAACACAGAATCACATTAATAGTGTATAAAAAAAAAATAATCGCATTAATAGCATATTTAACTCATGTTATGCTCAAAATATCAAGATATGTTTAAAATTCTAATATTTTATCAAGTAAATCAATTTAATCCAAATGACCCAATTAAAACCCAATTTTCCAAATTATGATTAGTATCTCTTATTTAAGCACAAAATAGGCCTGAAGAGGTTGAGTTTAAACCAGTTAAATATGTGAAATTTGGTCTCGTCAAATTTATACTTAATGAGAAAAATATTTATCCTTTTAAATGATAGTCATTTTAGTTAAAACTAGTATTTTTTATTTAAAATTTAAATTAAAAAAATCCTCTCAATTTTTCTCCTATGATTTTCATTGGGTATCTCTTTCTCTCACTTAAAATAACACAATTCTATGTCCTTTAAAAAGATAAAAACTAAACCCTTAATTAATTTATAAAAAGTTTCATTTTTATTCTTATCCTAAGTTTCATCATCAAAAATATATTTTTGATCGACATAAGTATTAGGATGGTTAATTAACTCCTTTATCTCTTTAAAAAATTCCAAAAAATCAACGAACCCTGGATTTTCTGCTTTCTAATGAAATACTGTTTTCACTTTCGTTGTTCTGCAGCTTTTCAGAAATGACTAAGAAAATTCAGAAACTTGTTGCAGCACAGAAAGGTCAATGGTGATAAGTACCAAGGTAGGTTGGACTATTCGACGAAGAAGTAATATTCAGCAGATTCACGTATTTTCGATCAGTTTCAGTTTGACAATTAAGTGCTGACAAGGAGACCACTGCCTCTCATTTCTAAGAGAAATTTTGTAGTGCTCTGGGAGCACATTTCAATAAGTTAAATAAATAAATAAATAAAGAGAGAGAAAAAAGAAAAAAAATATTTCTCTCACATGGCAAAGGATTACAGTGACCTTCTTGGGTCACTTTAAAATTTTCCCATTTCTAGGCCGAACACATAATTTGAATCCCTGCTTTGATAAGTGTGTTACTCTATAATTTCATCTTGGGAAACCTTTGCTTTTGCTTCAGAAAAGGTTTGTCCATTCAAATTTTATGGATAATTCAGTTAGTAATTGAGCTTCTAAAAATTTCTTTGGGGTCTTGGATTTAAATTATACCTCAAGTAATTTTTTTAAAATTTTTGGGAATTAGAGGACGTGTCCTTTTTTTATGAAGAATTAGTTCCATTCTTTTTTCGATGACGAAACTCAATGCACTTACTGTTTTGATGAAGGAGTAGTCTTTGGGACTGTACACTGCGTACAAGGTAACTGAATGAGGTTGAATAAGAATACCTCTAGATTTTAATAAAAAAAAAAGAGAGCTTTGTCCATTTCTTGTACACTTCATCACTATATGTGTCACACGATCCACTTTTTATATAAAAATAAAGTTATGTTTAATGGAGAGATTTGATATCTCAATGAATTATTGAATATCTATTAACTTTTTGGATTATATTTATTTTATGTTGCATAAGACAAACAAGCTTCCTACACACACAAAGTGGAGGTGGGTCCGACATCTATTTTTTCTCTCTCCTCTTACATGTAGGTCCCACTTGTAATTTTATTTTTATAACATGAGATAACCATTTTTCTACAACATAAGATACATATAACCCTAATTTTTATAATAAATGTTAGAGCCTAATGTAT